GCTATTCGCAGGTCGAAAATCAATCGAGTGTTTCAGACAGAATATTTCACTTTTCAGCGTATTATTGTTCGGTTCGAGATAGAAAAAATCCTCAATGTTTTCCTTGAACGTTTTAGGCGAAATATATTTGTTTATTAATTCATCAATGTCACCAATTTCGTAAGATTCAACAGGGATATCGATGCTAATCTGTTTAGTTTCATCAGCGTTTTCATAGTAGTAGAATTTCGTACCTTCTTCAATGTTGGGTATATTGTTGTACGAATGGAAATTGAGCGAAGCCAAAGTATATTTAGAATCAGAATGTAATGGAATAGGTGTATTTAAATTGATGGAGATTGTCAAATAACGACTCGTTATCGTTAATATCATAGACATGACTGATATAATGTCAGTATGACATCTCCTTGAATATTTATTGAAACAAAAACGACATTTTGAATAAAAATCATTCATTTCCACAATGATAACATTCTATTTGTGAACTCACAGAACCATAATACATTGGTTTTTGTAGCGATGATGCAGCTGATGGAGTTGGTGGTACCTCATATCGGTAAACGGATGAAACATGGTAAACGAATCTGCAAAGCAAATCGATGTTGGTAGTGCTTTGGTGATCTATGCCAAACATCCAATAATTCTCAAGGATCAGTTTTCTCAATCAAATAGTCGATCGATGAAATTTCCAATTCAGCATCGGTTAAATCTCGCAAAGATTCACCTCCAACCATTTTAGCTAACATTATGAAGCAGAAAGTGTAGGCATAGATGTCCGCAATTACTCTGGTCAAAATTTTGATACTGATCATTGTTATATGAAATCGTTATAGCCCTTCCAAAATATCTTACCAATTCCATTGGAGGTTTGAGATTACCGAAACTATCAAAATATTGTACAGCATTGCCATTTTTAATGTAAGCAACCCAATGAGTGCCTGCATTCAATTGAGAATCCAAGTTCAATACAGCACATTCTCGCAGCCGAGGACCACAAGTTGGCAACGTGTCACGCATAAAGCCTCCACGAAAATATGAAATTCTCAGTTGACTGGCACATATAATGCTCTATGGGGTAGCCTCAGTAGGGGTTTTTGCTTTTTCAAATGAAGACCTCACCCTTTGTGTTGCTGTTGTTTCTTTAGGAACAGACCAAATCCCACAGGTGTTTTACGTAGGTACAAACCGGAACCTAAATGTTCCATAGTTTTATTGTGACGTTGAAATTGTTCGAGTTTCTTTTTGGCATTTTTAGCATCTATTACGGTTTTTACGATAGCGCCTGCCCCACCTGCCAACGAACCCAAAGCCGAAAGGGCAGCGAATATTTGTATGAGTGGTAGGATTCCTCCTACGTATTCGTATGTTTTCACGTCCTCCAGCTTGACTCAATGCAATTTTAGCAGCTCGCAAAGCCGAAGCACTTGATTTTTTAATATTGGTAAGATGTGGCTTCCAATTTTCAGTAATTTTTTCAAGTATATTACGTCGAAAGGACAACCCCATGCCGTGCTCACTTTTCGCTCTTATTGTTGTAGTTACGAGCCAAGCAGCAGCTTCTTCACCAAATCTCGCGTCTTTCGATTCAACGCGCTCTCAAGCTCTATTTTCCAACACTTGATTTGCTTTATGATGGACTTCTAAAGAGTCACTTTGAGAGTACATGATATCGTTATCTTTACAATATTCGTCCAAAGGATTTACACCGGTGTCACCTTGTTCCAATCTCTTTTCCAATTTGGTGCCTGGTCCGCAAAACTGATAACCAGGTAGATGTAATTCAAACGGGAGCTTATTGATGAGCGAATTGACTACACCTGCACCGGAGTAAGTCAACATTGAGAATGATTGGGTGATGACTGTGATGTTTTCATTTATAACCGTAGCGCACTCATTGTCCAACATCACATCATGGAAGTTGTTCAACAAGACATTACCTTTTGAAAATTTAGACTTTTTGAATGAAGCCACCAATAGAAGTGTGGTTGGGAAACACGGTATATTATTGCCCAATTCATTTCGTGCAATAATTTGTGGGCCGAGTGGTTGTGGAAAGACAAACGCTATCTCAACATTGCTATTCCGCCCGAATGGCGACAAAGTTGACAATATCTACGTATATTCAAAATCATTGTATCAACCTAAATATCAATTGGTTCAAGAAATTTTCAGTGAAGTCAAGGTGTTGGGATATCATCCGTTCAGGGAAAATGAGGATATCATAAGCCCCCATGAAGCCAAATCTAAGCGTAGCGGATACATAAAATTGGCTGGGTATCATTGGAAAGGAACACCCGGTATGTATGAACTGTTATTTCTCGACATGCCTGAAAATTACAATGCTGAGGATTTGAATGTATACAAAAAGATTTTGGATTTATCGAGCGCTCACAAGAATTCCGCTGGGCATCTAAAAGGCACTCAGAGATACAAGAACACCAACCTAATCAAACCGTTGTTTCCAACAGCAGAAAATCGTCGTGAAACTGGTACTGGATTTTTTTAACCTAAAACACCTCTTACTACTACTACCGCGATGACATCATGTCTACCCAAAACGTCAACTCTTGCAATGACATTCTATACGGAACCCATTGAATACATTCATTGGGACGATCCCAACGAGCTATGCGAACGTCTCAAATTATTGCTAGCGTCACGAGATGCAGGAAATACTCACAACAATGAAATCATTGTCATTTTGAATGAACTCAAAGAGGCAAAAATAATTCTATAAGATACACTACGTTCCCCAATACATCATAATTTTCAAAATAGTTATCGATAAGTTTTGAAGGAGCGACAGCAACAGAAAGCGAAAATTTCCAACGCCCTCTCGAGGATGTTTTTTGCATTACACCACAGATGGTAATAATATTCATTGTGGTGATGTGAAATTGTGTCATGTGAAGAGCCCCACCACTGATTACGATGTTGCTAATAAAAAGTGTGTGGATGGAACCGATAAAGAACTTGCTCCATTTATATATCAGCTAGCTAAGCAACACAAAAAAGAAATGACCCAAGTAAATGAAAAAATAAACAAATTTCAAGGTGACATCTCCAAACAAATCACCGAAATAAATTCGAAGGTACAATCTACTATCAAGGAAATCAACAAGATACGAAATGTTGTTCAAGCAGAACCATAATGAAAAAGCGGGGTCCACACATCTTTACCATCAGTCGTCATGACTTCCAAAGATAAGATTCAACTTGTCAACGAACTACATAAACCAATTAGAAAAAATTATCCTCGACGCCGTAGAGTTATAAAAGGAATAGATGACTTATGGCAGATGGACTTGGCTGAAATGAGATCGTTTGCTCACCAAAATCGAAATTTCAAACCGATTCTAGTCGTCATTAATTGTTTTTGGAAATTTGTGTGGACTAGACCACTAAAATAAAAAACGGAAAGGAAATTACCAAAACTTTTGCAGATATTTTGACACAAACGAAACGTTGTCGAAAAAATTTACAAACCGATCAAGGTAAAGAATTTTACAACAATAAGTTTCAAACTTTGATGAAAAAACATGGAATAAATCACTCCAATACGTACAATCACACTAAGGCTTCTATGGCTGAACGTACCATTAGAACGTTGAGAGAAAGACTTTTCAAATATATATTTCAGTCTGAATGGCACCTACAAATGGTTGAATGTTTTGCCTGAACTCACAAAATCCTACAATGATACGCTACACTCGAGAAAACGAAAATGTGGCTTGTTTTTTGTCTGTCAATAAATTCTGCATCCGTTTTCCTTTCATTTGATGTGCTGCACGCTGAGATTCACTTATCATTAACCTTCCGTCAGGCGCGGCCACACACTACAGAAACAAGTTTAGATAGGCAACTGTATACTTGTAGATACAAAATACTAATGCTCCACAGGTCCGTAGCGGATGTTACCCGAACTACATAAAGAAAACTGTAATCCCGAGTATTTGAGGGCGGGCTTTTTAAAAGTTCGCTCCAATTTGAATAGTAAAATTTTAAATGTATGCACATAAAGTCAACATCATATGAANGAAATATATTTACCCAGATAATTAGTCTTTCAGTGCTACCATCTCTAGGTACCTGAGAATATAATTACACTCATCAGCACCCCCTGTCGGATGTTTCCCTAATATTTACATTTTGGCGGGATAGCGTGTGTTACTTTTCTATTGTTTACAATCAGTATTCTGTGGGCGCGGCCGATCAGATTGATACAAAGCCAATGTTTTGTTCTGATACTTTCGACTCGTAAATATTCGGCAGTTACCGTAACTAGTAGCTTCCTACATCTCACCCATCTACGCAATGAGATCCGACAGTTCTAAATAATCTTTGGTACGAGGAAGTTATCTGAATATTGTTCAGATTGATAAACCGCGCCTATATCCGTTACTAAATAAATTTTGCAAATTTGTTACTTTGTCAATTATTTTGGTAAGTGTTATCGATTTATACTACTATTGTTTACATTTTATTATTCACGTATTATATTTTTCACATACATACTCTATAAATATCAAATTGATACACAGCGCCCGATTGAAGATTTTTTATTTGTTAATATAATTATAATTATATATGTGTTTTAGGTTGGAAATACGTTGATCATGGAAAGCTGTTGTGAAAAATATGATCTAACGGATCCTCAAGATGTTGAAGAGCTACAAAGAATGATGTTTGAAGATGACGAAGCTGACTTACAGGACGATATTGATGATGAAGAGGATACAGATGGTGAATATGCTGTCGAATCCCGTGAAAGCGATTCAGATACGGAGAATATGATGATAATGGATATAACTTAGATGATAACTGTTATATTTTGGGAATGACTGGGTGAAATTATTCAATTGCAAGTAAAATATCAAGGTCCTTTATTCCCTCAAAACGTTTCCAAATAGACTGCGAACATACAATATAAAAACAAAGGTAGCAACATAAAAAACATTGGTATTTCTTACTGAAATAAATAATATGGATATACCGNGTGAATTTTCAATTTTTCCTAAAATGGAGAAAATAATCATATGTTGAATTTGATTACATTCAAATATTTCCTTGTAATAAAATTACCACACAAAACTTCATAATGATGAAGTTGAGTTAGAAATACAAATCTATTTTTGAATTGAAATACAGAAAAAATATTCAATGAAGCATTTTTTTATGAATCAATTTTGTCGTTTTTTTGTACGCTTCAATTTTCTTATTTTTGCTGAGTCACGATTTTTATTCGATACGTATAATAAACGAAAATTATATCACGTTTCAAAAAACTTATAAACAGTAAATTTATATTAAAAGGTATCAATGATAATTTATTTATCGTTGCGAGTAGATTCGCACCTTGAAAATATAAATCTCGGTTTAATTTTTTATAACATTTTCTGTAAGAACCACTTTATAAAATAGTTGAGGCTTTCGCCGAAAGGGTTTTCAGTATTACTATTTCTCAGGTTTGAAGGCCGTGGATTTTTAAAATTTGTTTCTGACGTTTCGCTGGTGCGAGTGGTTTGCTTCTTCAGAGGTTTATACCTCCTGGATAATCTCCGATGACTGAATATTACGGTTGCGTAAGACGTATTAATGTTGACTCAGGTAGTTTGGTGTGCTGATACCTGTACCTGAATCAGGTAAATTGTCAATAACATTCGTAGACCCTCTTCTACCTGTTTGCTATTCTTCAAATCCTCAGAATGGGATTCCATATTCGGTTGAGGTGCGGAGCTTGTTCTTTTCTGAAATTAACCACTGATGCCGACATCAATATTTCTTTCACCTTTTGAAATGAATTTTCACAATTTGTAGTCCATATCCATTTTACATTATCTTTCAGAAGCTCATATAGTGGGTTTGAAAAAGTAGCTAGATTTGGTATAAACTTCCCATAATAATTAATCATACCTAATACAGACTGTAACTGTTCAACATTTGTGGGTGCTGGTGCATTTTTTATTGCCAATATATTTTCTGGTGACGTGTGTGAACCGTCTTTATCTATTATGTAACCAAAATAACTTATTTTATCTTGAGAAAAACTACATTTATCTGGACTAACTTTTAACCCCTCGTCCTGTGATTTAGAAAAGATGCGATTCAATCTCTCTAGTTGTTCGCTACAATTTCTCCCACATACGAGTATGTCATCTAGAAAACATACGCATCCTTCAATGTCGTGGGTCAACGATTCGATGATATTCTGAAATTTCGAAGGTGCACATGCAACTCCATATGGTAATCTTTGATACTGAAAAAGACCTTTATGGGTGTAAATTGTAACTAAAACCTTAGAATTTCATCTGGACATATTTGTGCGTAAGCCTGCGAAAGGTCAATTTTAGAAAAAACTACTTCACCCTGTAATTTTTAAAAAAGATCATCTATTCGCGGCAGGGGAAATTGAACAATCTCTAAAACTGGGTTCAACATGGTTTTGAATTCTCGGCAAATTCTGACTGCACCGTTATTTTTAAAACTGGCACATACGCCCAAGGAGAATAGTTCACCGGTTTAATTATACCTAAATCTTGTAAATTTTTCAATAGGGAATGTTCCTCCTGACGAAAATCAAGTAGTTTTCATAAAAGGGCTCTGAAACAACGCATTTTAAACTTATCATTTCAACTTAAATTTCTAACTCTTGCCACCCACTCATTGGCACTTTCATGTTGATTCTTGAAAGCTGCGAAAAACTTCGATCTGGCTACAAACAGTGACTCGGACACTTTGAAGTACTGATTGAACAGTTCTGTGAGTTGTTGATAAATTTTTTTCTCTGGTAACTTCGGAAAAAACAAATTGTATATGAACTTGTATGCATTTTCATCCAATGCATTCAACAATAATATTGCCTTTTTCTTATCATCAGCAATATCATTTACTTAAAAATAATTATCAAGTCTACGCTTATAGATTACCCAGTCGCTATCTTGAGCACTGAATTCCCGTACTTGTTCATAATATGATGGATTTCGATTTGTTTGTGGATCTGACATTTTCTCAAGCCAAAATATTCAGATTGTCCTGTCAGTTAGAGGATGGTGGTTCAATAGTGCGTGCAGGTATCCATCTGTGTGCGTGGGTTTCGGTACACTTTGTGGGTTAATCTAGCACCACATCGTTCGATGAGTACATCTATAGACCGGGAGACCGTGACAGAAATTTTGACCTCATTTTTTACCGTCTGCCTTATTCAGAGGACATATTTACAGCCACAAGCAACAATATTATGAGCTAAACGAAATTTCTCCCATGTTAAACATGCTTTAAAATTAACTCTAGTTTGCATAAAAAAAGAGCTTCTTTGACCACCATTTTACCGTCTGCCATTCATGCGACCGGAAGGCTAGGTTATGCAACCCACAAAAAAAATGAGTGGCAGATGGTGTTCTGGCTAAAGCATGAATTTTTTATTTAACAACAAACAATGGTTAACTAAAATCAATTTTGTACCGTCTGCCAAGCACAGCGTAGACTAACAGTAGCATGAAATGAACGAATGTTCACAAGGCAGATGGTTTGCCGGTATATTAATAATTTAAAGGCATTAGTCAGTTAACAATTTTTTTACAGTGTCTTTGAACCATTTTCCACCGTATAAAACTTGGTAAGATATAAACTTCAGTACTAAAAATACAGAGAAAAATTATTGGCAGACGAATAGACCGTATTTATACAACTGAAAAACATTTTTTAATTTGTTAAAAAAAGTAATGACTTTTACTGACATTTTACCGTCTGCTATTGTTTACTTGCAATGTATATTAGTATTAGGTAGGCGAATTGTCAATCGGCAGACGAATAGATCGTGTTTATACAACTGAAAAATATTTTTTAATTTGCAGAAAAGAAGTAATACGTTTGACCATCGTTTCACCGTCTGCCGTTGTTTCCTTGCAATATACAATTATTAAGTAGACAAAGTGTCAATTGGCAGAAGAATCGACCGTGTTTAGATGAGAGTGGTAGACAATTTGTGATGACACAAGTGTCAATGTTACTTCGCAATTTGGTTTTGGAAACAATAGCAGATTCATAAATGCCACATAAATCGGCCGTGCTCTTGGATTTCAGATTTGCGCTGGTTTACCTGCATTCCATGCCCTAACCGGCTGTTATTTTACACTAGCTCTTTATAAAAAAAAGGTAAAAAAACCTTTGTCGATTTCAATGGACAACGAAAAGTTTGAAAGAGCTTTTGCAGACTTGGCGAAACCTTTCTTTGGTTGCTGACACTGCACTAATAATCGTGCAGTATGTATGAAACAACCAAAAATAAGTTATCCAAAGTCTCAAGAAGTGATAGATGACATGGAGTCTTTCAAGAAACAAGTTACATCGTTTGACACATCCAATCTACCACTATGTGCCAGAGAGTTACAGCAACAAATTTAAAGAACAGCATATATTTAAATAAAACTGCCCAATACTTGAGAATCCATATTCAAACACTAATCAATACAGTTTATTGTATGATTTTCACTATAGAAGGGTTTTACAATAACCGCGACACGTGTTTCGTTATACAATAGCTTCCTCAAGCATAAATTGTTTATTCTGCAGGTACGTCAGTATTTAGGAAATTATGAGAACTCAATGAAGAGAAAATCCAGCATGAAAATATCGAAAATACTACCTTACGTAATTAATCGAAAATAAATAAATGTAGCAGCATATGTTCACATATCATTTAAATAATTTTGCATTATTTTTACATCCTTCAAACTGTATCACGAAAATTGATTATTAGATTGCCACCTTATTTTTTGTTGTAGATCCTACTGAATTTGCTCTTATGAAGTAACATTGACACTTGTGTCATGAAAAATTGTCTACCACTCTCGACTAAACACTGTCTAACCGTCTGCCAATTGACAGTTCGTCTATTTAATAATTATATATTGCAAGGAAACAATGGCAGACGGTAAAACATTGGTCAAAGTAATTAGGATTTTTTTGCAAATTAAAAAAAATTTCTCAGTTGTATAAACACGGTTAATTCGTCTGACAATTGACAATTAGTATACTTAATAATCATATATATTGCAAGGAAACAATGGCAGACGGTAAAATGTTGGTCAAAGAAGCTCTTTTTTTATGCAAACTAGAGTTAATGTTCAAGCATGTGTAACATGAGAAAAAATTCGTTTAACGCATAATACTGTTGCTTGTGGCTGTAAATATGTCCTCTGAAAAAGGCAGATAGTAAAAACTGGGGTCAAAATTTCTGTCACGGGTTCCCGGTTTACTAGGAATGCTATTCTTTGGTCCTGTTCAGTCTCCACGATGAACTCGATGCTGGGGTGTTCGGCTTTTCAAGTGTTCTAGAAAAAGGTTTAGAGCATCTCCTTCATGTTTCTAAATGATGAAGATGTCACCCACGTAACGTAGCCATAGGGTCGGTTCCAATTCAAAGGTGTCGGTTGCTTTCCCTTCAAAACGTTCCATGAAGTCTGTTTTTCCGTTAATCAGCTGTTTTTCCATTAATCAGCTGTCGCCCCATACGAACGACAACTCTCAGAAGTTGAGAAACTTGTGACTAACGAGGTCTTACCTTTTAACGTGTGATTCCTAACAGAGACAGTATTAGTTGGCTATCAATTGAATGAGTGGACTGCCAATCGCCACGCCATCTAGTTGCCCATATAAGTTATTCGAAAGAAACTCCCCGTGAGATCTCCTATGAAGAGCCCGACGATATCCCTTGGGAACAAGTAGGCTAGCCCCCTGAGAGTCTTTCAGTGGGACGATGGTGAACAAATTGACCAATAGTCAGTGCTCCAGGCTCGCCAACCTAACACCTAGCGAAGCATCTGGCCTAGCTTCTCCAGCTTCCTACCTCAAGGAATCGACAGACTTCGTCAATGCAATTAGAGATTTAACTCTGGAGCCGACAGATATTCTGGTCAGCTCCGATGATATGATAACAATGTACCACTGAAAGACACTCTGAGGAAGCTAGCCTAATTGTTTCCATGTGATATCGTCGGACTCTCAAAGTATACC